CAGGTCAGACAATAAGGTCTGCCTACCCAGCTCTAGACACCAGGGTAGTGGGATAATTTTTTTTTCAAAGGCTTCACATTGCTTTATGTAAAGCACACACACACACAATATATATATATATATATATATATATATATATATATATATATATATATATATATATATATATATATATATATATATATATATATATATATGCTTTAACTACAAGGAAAGATGAAAGCAAGTTCCCAAGCGCTTTCGTGTAATTCACATCTTCAGGGGTGGTAGTACAGTGTACTCACCCTGAATTACAAGCATATACTAGATCGTGCCTACAGTGATTTACTTGCAATATATATATATATATATATATATATATATATATATATATATATATATATATATATATATATATATATATATATATATATATATATATTCACGCACGTAAAGATGAAACTTATTTAGAGCTTCATGAAGCCATCTATTACTCTTGTTTTAATTATTAACTTTTTATTTCAGGTAAGTAGTGTGGGGAAGGAAGGACGTGGAGAATAACGACAGGTACAGGTAGGTAAGTCAGTGGATTTAGTCGTTTGAAGCGCCATCACCCCACCCCATTATCAATCCCCTCCACCATCAACCCACCTCATTATCAATCCCCTCCACCATCCCCACCCCATTATCAATCCCTCCACCATCAACCCACCCCATTATCAACCCCTCCACCATCAACCCACCCCATTATCAACCCCTCCACCATCAACCCACCATTATCAACCCTCCACCATCACCCCACCCCATTATCAATCCCCTCCACCATCAACCCACCTCATTATCAATCCCCTCCACCATCAACCCACCCATTATCAATCCCTCCACCATCAACCCACCCCATTATCAACCCCTCCACCATCAACCCACCCCATTATCAACCCCTCCACCATCAACCCACCCCATTATCAACCCTCCACCATCACCCACCCACAACCCCACATCAACCCACCCATTATCAACCCACCATCACCCCACCCCATTATCAACCCTCCACCATCAACCCACCCATTATCAACCCCTCCACCATCATCAACCACCCCATTATCATCCACCATCATCAACCCACTCCACCGTCACCCCACTACAACCTCACCCCATCATCACCCCACCATCACCCCACCCCATCATTATCCCACCATCAACGTACACCTCAAACTCCCCACCCCGTGAGTTGAAGCCCCAGAGAATGTTATGTATATCTTGCCAGTGGTATTCTTAGCTCAGTTTCGTACCGGATCTGGAGTGACCGCCAGGTAAGTCGCTGCCATGGGACTTCTATGACACAGAAACGAGAACTGCTCTTGTAGGTGAATATATTAAGTATGGTGATGTGCTGTTGTTGCTGGGTCGATCGTGGGCGACAGTGGGGTGCTTTTTCAGGTAACTTTCGTATGATGAAAATAAAAATGAAAAAATAAAATCACATGAAGATTTGACACCCTAGTTTATTTCACTTGATGACTAAACACCCTTAAACTATACCTTGGGTGGGAGGGGGGGGGTAGGTTAAGAATCATCAGGTTAAGTAAACTTTGGGGCTACTCTTCATGTGATCCAGAAAAATAGTAGACTGGTGTGTTAATGATGTTGGATCAGTTTGGATGACAGGTGAGCTGCTTCTGAAATAACTCCTAAGGAAGTGAAAAAAAAAAGAGAGCCATGTCCAAGCGAATATATTAAGATTTTATAACTTATGAAAGAATCTGATGATGGAGTGTCAAGGTTCAGAACTTACTGGAAGTTGGAGGTGTCGAGAAGCGTGTTAGTTGGAAGAGGTAGGTAGGAAGCCCTGTTCAGTGAGGGAGGTAACGAAGCCGCCACCACCACCAACCGCCGTATGATCTACAGTACACCACCTGCTTGCCTTCACTTCCTGCTGCACCTCGGCTGTCACACACCCAGGGCACCCGTTGATGTCTCTCTTCCCCTTGTAATGGTCTCTCCTACACACCTCTCTCACGGCACGGTGTGTACGTGTTACTTATCAGAGCAACCCAGAAGTGCACACGATGGTGTTGTCGTCAAGGTCATCTCATTGCGACTTTACGTCCACGTGTTTGCAATCTGGAACATATGTCAGGGCTTCCTTGCCTGCATGTGTGTGTGTGTGTGTGGGGCTGACATTCCTTATCACTACACAGTTTGCCTCTTTAATACAATCTATTCACTATGAAGATCTTACAATGACGACTTCCCTGCACACGCGCTCACACACACACACACACACACACACACACACACACACACACACACATATATATATATATACACACACATACACTGTATACATCTTTCTTGCTCCATCAGCACATCACCACAAGCAAGAAAACAAAAGAACCGCGAACTTTAAGTATCCACAAGCTGGTGGCTGAGATCGTGGTGGGTCAAGTCCTACAGTTCCAGTTGTCTCTTACTGAAGTCACTGCCAAGCAATTTCCTTATTAACTATGTTTAGTTGAGAAAACTGTGTTGATATTTAAATTACAATTTTGTGTATTTTATCATAGCTGATTCGATTAAATTGCTACATATGTAATTATTGCAACTAGTTTTGGTGTATGGTTTTGCCCAAGAGCTTCGATGTGATTTTTCGCGTTTACATAAGAATGGAGGAAACTATAGCGGGTCTATTGGTCCGGTGTCATCCCACATGAACAGTCGTCTTTTCTGTGCGGTTTTTGCCATCCTACATGGACGATTCCCAGAAAGACGCTTGTGAGACTTCACTTGGATTGTGTAATTCAGTTTTGGTCACAGTACTATAGAATGGATATCGAATCCCTAGAAAGCATTCAAAGAAGGATGACAAGGCTAATCCCGGACATTAGGAACCTTGAATATAGGGACAGATTAAAGCATCTTAATTTTCACTCCCTCGAGAGACGTAGAGTGAGGGGCGATATGATCGAGGTGTATAAATGGAAGTCAGGGCTAAACAAAGGTGATACAACAAAAGTACTTAAACTATCCAACCTGGAACGAGATATGTAAACGCTAGTTTGGAAATAGAGTAGTGGATCAGTGGGGTTGGGTGTAAACGGGGCTGCCCAGTATGGGCCAATAGGCCCGCTGCCGTTTTCTCCATTCTTATGTTGTGTGCTGTACCCATACTGCCCCTAACAGACGGTCTATACGACCCACTATCACTTAGCGCCGAGCTACAGTGTTATAACAAAATATTATTTCTCAATTTACTTAAAGTTGGTGTTTACTTAAAGCAACTTTTGTACGGTATTATTTTAATGCTCTTTTGTGGTGCAGCAGTTTATTTAAAACACATGTCAGGTTGTTTATACGGTGGCACGCCATTTTTGTATACATTGTATCTGTATTCCCGGTGATGAACATAAGGGATGCCACTTAAGAACAGGTAGAACGTTGAACAAACAATATTTGAAAATCCTAGATACAACAGTTGGTGCAACAGATTTGTGTATTTTAGAGGATTTATGAATATTGACCTAGTGATGTTATCACAGTACAGTACAAGCGACCACACGCTGTAAACATGGATGATCTGAAGCCCTGGATGATGGAAGTTTTTTTTTTAGGTCCTCTTATTTGTTAGGCGGTGTGTGTGTGCGTGTGTGTAATAATAATAATAATTAATGACTTATTGAAAGAACATGGCAGCCTTAAGGCTGAAAATATACAGTTGCATGATTGGGAATGGGTCTCTTGATTGACAAATAATATACAAGTAACATATGTGATACAAATATGATGTAGGTATAATAAATAGGTGGGGTTAAGGTCATACTACAGGGCATTTCAACAAAGTGACAGTGCAAAGAGGTAAAATTGACTGGGAGTGAATACACTGGTTGATTACGAGTTGTTGATACTTTTTACAGTGGTTGGGACTGGGCTGTTCTTATAGCGATCAGTACGTGCTCGTATGGGCTGGATGCAGTTATGGTGTCGATCAGCAATTCGCGGATGAGGGATCTCGGGTGGTAGTAGGAGCCGGTGTCGAGGATGGTGCAGAAGCTTCTCACCAAATTTGCAGATGAGGTCGTGGTGATGGTCAGAGAGAGCTGAGAGGGTCAGTGTGTTGAGCACTTCTTGATATGTGGCATTTAGGGAGGAAGACCAGGCAAGGAAGGCATAGGTGAGCTTGGGAAGTATGAATGTTGAGTAAACACTGAGGAGCTCCGGCGCAGGAACTCCGAGGGACTTGAGTCGGCGGAGGAGTTGGAGACGGAACCTGGAGGATTTGACAACTTCACTGACGTGTGTTTTCCAATTTAGTTTGTTATCTATAGTGTCGCCGAGGAGCTTAGTGGAGCCTACAACCTGAGTGTGTTGGGGCCTAAAGTAATGGAAGGGGGTGGGACAATGCTGTAGAAGTTAATGTGCATAACCATGGTCTTGGTATGGTTGATGGTGACGTGATTGTTGGTGACCCAGTTTTGGAGACTGTTCAATAAATCCTGGAGGGCGGTATGGTAAGTTTTGACAGATCAAACCAAGCCAGTAGAAAAACATACATGCCAGTCTCTATAAGGATATTGTTTGTAGAATGTGAGATTGCATTATCGCCTCAGGGGCTATACTTGATACTGCACGTGATATTACTGTCTAAATGTGTCATCAGTTCTTTGGTATGGAAGTTTTGGTTTTGGCGGGTGGTGTAATGATTGTTTATCAGACCACAGCTTACAGCCCAGAGAAGAACAGCACATATAGCGGTGGCCGGAAGCGCAGGTGTGTACACCCACGCAAGTTGACACACCCTACAGCAGTGGTTCTCAAGAGTCCCAGGTCACATTCCTCCCCTTGCGATCCCAGATTTCCTCAATTCCTCCTCCATTTTGAATTGTCATCTTGTAATATTTTCACCATTATACTTTAACAGCGGTAATTTGTGAAACAATTTATGAAACTAAATTGCTTTATTAAGTGCCATCATATGAAAAAAGAAATCCTTATTTCAATGGATCATAAAACTTCCATTTGATTTAATGCCCACTTTGGCCTGCGTGCAGAGAAACTAAACTAGAAAACCGAGGAACAAATCCAGTAAGTTTTGCTCCAAGGTCACCACGCTCACAAATGTTGAGACGTCCTCGTTTTTTAGTCAACATATCCATTACAGCACTAAAGGCACATTCAACCAAGTATGTTGCTGGGAAGGGCAAAAGCACTTGCTGAGCCTCTATAGCTATTTTTTTTTTATTTGACAACAACTTGGGGATCCAGCCACATGAAGTGTTGTTTTGAAGCTTGCATCGTTTCATACTGTCATCATTTTGCATGTCCATTAGCTCGTCGATCTGATCAGACTCCATTTTATCCAGGCAGTCATTATTTTCCCAGTTAAAGAGAAATGGCTGAGCAATCCAAGAAGGGAAGTTCATCTGCTTCAGATCAATGAATCTGTCGCTCAGGTCATTATGGAGGTTGGAGAGGTGTTTCTCTTAGGGCATCATTGATAAGCATAAGGAAACAGAGCGGTCCCATCTTGGTGCCTTGGGGAACACCACATGTGAGTGACTGAAAAGTGGAGAAACCCCTTTGGAAGCGTACGGCTTGGCGTCGGTCATTGAGGAAGTTTGTAAGCCATGGTATAAGACTTCTTCGAAACCCGAAGTCGATAGCTTTGTTGATGATTTAAATTGTGGTCGACTAGGTCAAATGCTTTGGTGAAGTCAATGAAGGCGACAGCCACAGACGTTTTTCGCTTTTCCAGATGGATTTATATGTAGTCGAGAAAGCTGACGAGACAGTGAGTGGTGGAGGAAGTTTTCATATTGAAAAATTGCTGAGGATCTATGGCGCCTGCATTATCAGCATAAGCCCACTCAAAAACAAAACTTTCACAGATTAAGCTGGGTATCGGGGTGATGGAAATGGGTCGTAGCTCATTTAATGATTGTGGGCTGGTTGACTTAGGCAGTGTGTGTGTGTGTGTGTGTGTGTGTGTGTGTGTGTGTGTGTGTGTGTGTGTGTGTGTGTGTGTGTGTGTGTGTGTGTGTGTGTGTGTGTGTGTGTGTGTGTGTGTGTGTGTGTGTGTGTGTGTGTGTGTGTGTGTGTGTGTGTGTGTGTGTGTGTGTGTGTGTGTGTGTGTGTGTGTGTGTGTGTGTGTGTGTGTGTGTGTGTGTGTGTGTGTGTGTGTGTGTGTGTGTGTGTGTGTGTGTGTGTGTGTGTGTGTGTGTGTGTGTGTGTGTGTGTGTGTGTGTGTGTGTGTGTGTGTGTGTGTGTGTGTGTGTGTGTGTGTGTGTGTGTGTGTGTGTGTGTGTGTGTGTGTGTGTGTGTGTGTGTGTGTGTGTGTGTGTGTGTGTGTGTGTGTGTGTGTGTGTGTGTGTGTGTGTGTGTGTGTGTGTGTGTGTGTGTGTGTGTGTGTGTGTGTGTGTGTGTGTGTGTGTGTGTGTGTGTGTGTGTGTGTGTGTGTGTGTGTGTGTGTGTGTGTGTGTGTGTGTGTGTGTGTGTGTGTGTGTGTGTGTGTGTGTGTGTGTGTGTGTGTGTGTGTGTGTGTGTGTGTGTGTGTGTGTGTGTGTGTGTGTGTGTGTGTGTGTGTGTGTGTGTGTGTGTGTGTGTGTGTGTGTGTGTGTGTGTGTGTGTGTGTGTGTGTGTGTGTGTGTGTGTGTGTGTGTGTGTGTGTGTGTGTGTGTGTGTGTGTGTGTGTGTGTGTGTGTGTGTGTGTGTGTGTGCGCTGTAATCCTTTCAATATTGGAACAAATTTCCATCCATTCAAGCGACAGACAGTTCACGGGGGTGTGAAGCTGTCCGTCCGTATCACATTTAATTTCCGTTAGATACATCTCGTCCGACTCAGTGAATGGATCTTTGAGTGTTGGCGGTAAAGCGTATTGTGTCGGGTTGTTGTGGGAGATGGTCGGGCGTGTTGCCAGCTTGGGTAATTCTTTAAGAGTTACACCCGAAGACATTTTCGACGGGCTGGGGGGGAGGGGGGCACGCCCTTCTTCTTTCGTTGTTCTTATCATCTCTCTCTACTCTCTGTACCGATTTTCTTCACTGTCTTTGTCCATTTCCACACTTTCTCCTTCTTCTTATTGTATATCTCTATTTGTTTACTCACTCTATTATCTCTTCACTCTTTTCCTCTCTCTCTTTGCACTCGGTAGTCTTCGTATTCAGTTCTTTGTCCCACTCCTCATCCCACTCTTCTGTCTACGCTTCCCTTTCCCTCTCAACATTCTTGTCTGTGCGCTCTGTAATATCTCTTTGTACCGTCTCTTGTTCTCGCTTTAGTGTACCTTATGTTTGTACTGTCACTCTACCATTCTTTTGTATCATCTCTGCTGTTCTTCTATACCGTCGCTGTACTTTGCACTGTCTACCATCACTATACCGACTCTTTGTACCGTCACTGTGCCATCATTGTGCACTGTCTGTACCATCACCATACTATTTTTTTGTACCGTCACTGTACCATCACTTTGCACCGGCTCTGTACTGTCACTTTCACCGTCAAACCGTCACCTCCCATACACAACTGTCTTACCTCCTCACCCCCACACACAACCTCTTTCCCCAACTTCCCAACCCCAACCCTTACACACAAATCCTCTCCCCCACCCTACCACCAACACACAACCTCTCTCCCCACCTCCTCCCCACAATCTCTCTTCTCCACCCCCTCCCACTCCCCACAACCTCTTTCCCCCACCCCAACACACAAATCCTCTCCCCCAACCCACCCTCAACACACAACCCCATCTCCCCCACCCCACCCCGACACACAAACAGCAATGATTAAAAAAAACTCTTCCTTCTTTAGGAACACGTCGCACGCAGCTTAAGTAAATCCCCCCATGTTTGTTTGTGTTCCCTGTGTAGTCGGCGACATGAATCTTTCACCTTTACTTATGCTCTCTTACGGGTATCTAAATCCTCCATGTTTGTTTACAGTGCTCCCTAAATCCTCCATGTTTGTTTACAGTGTTCCCTAAATCCTCCATGTTTGTTTACAGTGTTCCCTAAATCCTCCATGTTTGTTTACAGTGTTCCCTAAATCCTCCATGTTTGTTCAGTGTTCCCTAAATCCTCCGTGTTTGTTTACAGTGCTCCTTAAATCCTCCATGTTTGTTTGCAGTGTTCCCTAAATCCTCCATGTTTGTTCAGTGTTCCCTAAATCCTCCGTGTTTGTTTGCAGTGCTCCTTAAATCCTCCATGTTTGTTTACAGTGTTCCCTACAGCCTCCATGTTTGTTTACAGTGCTCCTTAAATCCTCCATGTTTGTTTGCAGTGTTCCCTAAATCCTCCATGTTTGTTCAGTGTTCCCTAAATCCTCCGTGTTTGTTTGCAGTGCTCCTTAGTGTTTACTGTGTTCCCTAAATCCTCCATGTTTGTTTACAGTGCTCCCTAAAGTTTGTGTCCCTAAATCCTCCATGTTTGTTTACAGTGTTCCCTCCTCCATGTTTGTTTACAGTGTTCCCTAAATCCTCCATGTTTGTTTGTTTAGTGTTCCCTAAATCCTCCATGTTTACAGTTTGTTTAAATCCTCCAGTGTTTGTTTACAGTGTTCCTCCCTCCATGTTTGTTTACAGTGTTCCTCCATGTTTGTTTAAATCCTCCATGTTTGTTTACAGTGTGTTCCCTACCTCCATGTTTGTTTAGTGTTCCCTAAATTCTCCATGTTTGTTTACAGTGTTCCCTACAGCCTCCATGTTTGTTTAGTGTTCCCTAAATCCTCCATGTTTGTTTACTGTGTTCCCTACAGCCTCCATGTTTGTTTACAGTGTTCCCTAAATCCTCCATGTTTGTTTACTGTGTTCCCTAAATCCTCCATGTTTGTTTACTGTGTTCCCCTTTACTTGTAGACACTCAATCCCTCCTGTTTGTGTGTCTAGGTACAGGTTTAGCGAGGCGTGTCTGTGGTCGTCTCCGTTTCCACACTGGAAGGAAGTTGGTGTCTGAAGTGTACTCAGTTGTGTAAAGAAAATGGGTTATTTAGTCATGTGTAGAAAACGGTGAACTTCGTGGTGTATTGAAAACTTCATTTGAACAGCGAAAACCGGTCTTTCGTGTATAAGAGTTTTTTTTTTTTCACTGTTTGCTTGAGTAGCATATTGTGGGATTATTTATCTGAAGAACTGAATTATGAAGTCATGTACACTCTCCCAAAAAGGTGTCGGCTCCTTTTTTCGTCGATACAATGTGTCACAATGGAGGAATATTTCCAATCACTAATTGTGATTCCTGCATTATGTTGGCAGGCCTGCCTTCTTAGTATCCGTGAGGTTGCCAGTTATTATTCCTGTCATTTGTTGTAATTATGGTGAATCACTGTGCTCCATCTTTAGTAGAATAATATAATGATATTAATGTAGTGAAAATATATCAACAGCAGTCAAATAGTGAGTGTTTTCTGCTGTAAATCCATGACCAAAAGTAGTAGGAGCTGAGATTCAATGGAAAGCACAGCTTGTACCAAAAGACATCGTCTCATGGTGTGTCTCAGATAATGTTCCGTGGTCAGCACGAATCATAAGATGATACGTAAAATTCATTATTGTTTCCTCATCAATTGAGGTAGAAATAATATTGAAATGCAGTAAATCATAATGTCATTGTAATTAAGTGTGACATCATAATATATCTGTAATTACTAGATTTGCAAATGAATGTAATATCGGACTCATGGTGTTTCATATTTCGTTCGAAGCGATTCTGGTGTAACCTCGGTTCATGAAAACATAGTAATGTTATATTCCTATTTGGCAACCCATCCTCTGGGGCTGAAATAGTATCTAAGGTGCATGGAGTTATTGGTTTTGCAAATGGTATCACAATTCATCCTATTTCATTACATTATGTAGAGAATAGTTGGTATACTACAGATATCATGGTGATTATCAGGTGCAAGAAGAAAGAACGAAAAGTGCAACTCACAATGAGAAATACCAACCGAACCGAGACAGCACGTGTTATTGTGTTTATTTCCAATTACATGAGGCCCATGACGGCCGATACTTTTTGGGAGAGTTTACATAATGTATGTTAAGCTTATTATGTATCTACAGTATATTAATATTTCCCATGGAGTTGTATTTTTTTATCCCACAGTCATTTCAAAACTCCCCCAAAATACGGATAGAGAAAAATAATAATGTTAAGTCCTTCAGATCGAAGCGTAAATGCTTCGATTTGATTTTAAGACATGACTGTATTATTATACTTGTATATTGGTAAATTATTAGGTTTTTTTTTTACTTCCTTGGTTGGTCTCTGACATTTGCCACGTGCTGATCGTGCACGTGAAAAACCCGAAGAAGCTGTTGCAGAGTTCATGCATGGCTAATTCTACCATGAAGTTCTTCAGGAGCGCTTATTAGTGCAGGTGAGCTTCGTCTGTGAAGCCTTTCCTGACCCCTGGACATCCTGCTGCCAGATGGTGGTGGTGGTCAGCTCGTGGTGGAGGTGGTGCGCTGCGGACCTGGTGATCCTGCCACAAATCCACGCCCACTGTTGCTCCACACTGCCCCGGCTGACATCAACACTAGTTCTTCTGTTTGGTGTCTGCGCTCCAGCTGCTGTAACCGGTGCAAGTGGTGCTGTTTCAATTTGGCTAATGCTGCCCTAGTGCTGCCCCAGTCACTGAAAGCCAAAAGTAACAAGTGCTTAAGGCTGGTTGGTGGTTTGGTTCTGCTGTGGTGCTGTTAGCAGCCAATGTTACTTGTACTTACTGTTGATGCTGCTTCAGTAGTGCTGGTGTCGTTCTAGGGCAGCTTCCTGCCACTGAAACCAGTACTGACGGTGCTGGGGGCTGGTGGCGTGGTCCAGCTGGGGTACTAGTGCTGCCACTGAACACTAAGCACCAGTATTGTGGGCGCCTTTGGAGTAGCGAGTGAATTGTGTTTTAGGTGAAGTGGTGATTCAAGGTCGTGCATCATGGAAGAGTTGGTGAGCGTTCTTGGTGCTTGTGGAGGACATACCCTGCCTCAAAATTAATTAGTCTGAAAATTTTTATTTCTTTTATATACAACAAGGTTTTAAATGCTGTAGAAAAGTTTCAGCTTGTTTGAAAATATAATTATTCTTCCATGAATTAATGTAATAATTCCTTAGAATGATGTTGAAGGATTGTAATGTCAAGAAAATAACAAAATACATTAAGGAGGCGATATATCCCAAAGTATAAATTTAGAAGAAAAAAAGTCGATAGTTTGACGTTAAAAACGGAAAATATTTATTTTGAGCTGAAGACTGTCTCATCTCACAGGTGGGCGGCAAGAAAGTCAATGACTTAAATAATTTGCACTAAAGATAACATTGTAAAAATAAAGTAAGAGGGAGTGCAGAGCGTGTGAGTGACGGAGCCCGGTTGGCTAGTCACCAAACAAGAACAAGTGTAATATCCAGTGAGAACTGCGGGCACTACGTCCCCAGTGAAATTGAGGATAGGGATTGTTTACAAGATTTATGCAACCGTGTTACCATGTCGAGCTTGTTCGAGGAATACTGAGAGCGATATATGGAACTTAGGCTCTTGGCCACCAATGGATAGACGTAAATGCAGTGGTTAAACCCCATCTTCGAGACAACATTCCCAATCCACTATGTAAAACTATTTAAGTATGGTAACTTATGGACCCCTAAAACAGAATGTTGATGGGTTTTAGGACATAAATTAGGCGTAGTGATGGGAGGATGTATAGAGGGAGGAGAGGGGTAGAATACATATAGAGAGGGAAAGAGAAAGCGGCTGGTAGTTGTGACGAGAGTGTGTGTGATAGGCTGCCTGCCCCAGTTGCCACTCCGTCCTGTCCTAAGTGTCACGTGATTCCCCTGGCTGCCCCGCCCACTGACGATTGGCCCCCATCATACCCTGTCTCTCACCCTCCCTCACTTCTCTCCCGGTCCGGTAAGCCTTTGAGAGATCCTCAGGGTGCCTCCAAAGTGTTACATATTGAAAACTTGGTGAATTATTGGTTATATTTGTGTCTATGCATGTTTTTCGTGTTTGTGAAATGTGTATTGATGTGAAGGAAGACACACTGGCTCTCGTTGGCTGCTCTACCGGAGTTTATGACCAAGTATGACTCGGGAATGAAACAAGTATAACCCGGATGCATATAATTAAGTTCGAAACCCATATAAGCAAGGATTAATTTGGATATAGAGCCTAGTTTATGAACACAGGTTTATTACTGAGTTTACAACCCGAGTACATTAACCTGGATGTTTTACCTGGTACTCTACAGTATAAAACTCAGTTCATCCTATTGAAAATGGCTCAATCTTCAAAGTGGCGCTGTCTTGAAAATGGCTAAAAATCTTGAAAATGGTTATAAATCTTTAAGTGGCTCTAAATATTGAAATATTGAAAATGGCTCTATTCTGAAAATGGCTATTTTGAAAATGGCTGTCTTGAAAATGGCTGTCTTGAAAATGACTATCTTGAAAATGGCTGTCTTGAAAATGGCTGTTTCGAAAATGTCTGTCTTGAAAATGACTCCATCTTGAAAATGGCTGTCTTGAAAATGACTGTTTTGAAAATGATTGTCTTGAAAAGGGCTGTTTTGAAAATGGCTGTCTTGAAAATGTCTGTCTTGAAAATGACTCCATCTTGAAAATGGTTGTCTTGAAAATGGTTGTCTTGAAAATGTCTGTCTTGAAAATGACTGTTTTGAAAATGATTGTCTTGAAAATGGCTGTCTTGAAAATGACTCCATCTTGAAAATGGTTGTCTTGAAAATGGCTGTTTTGAAAATGGATGTCTTGAAAATGGCTCTTGCAAATGGCTCTAAATTCAGTAAAACCTACCTAAACAAGACAATATATTACTCTACAGTCTGCAGTGTATTTAAATGACACACACACACACACACACACACACACACACACACACACACTACTGTTCCCTAACGAACACTCATAATAATATGTTTATAAGAAGTGTTGTAAAAGTCGTGTTCAATCATGTCGAAAACATCTGTTTTTGATATGGTGAAAGTTACTGAGGAAATTCGCGTTGTTTTAATTTTTCGGGTGGTGGTGACTGGTTTCGGTCACTTGAGTGGTGGAAATATATATATATATATATATATATATATATATATATATATATATATATATATATATATATATATATATATATATATATATATATATATATATATATATATATGTGTGTGTGTGTGTGTGTGCGTGTGTGCGTGCGTGCACGATGTGATAGAAATATGTGACTGTTTGGATTATGATATTCGCATAATTATTATTATTATTATTATTATTATTATTATTATTATTATTGTTATTATTATTGTTGTTGTTGTTGTTATTATTATTGTTATTTTTTACTATTATTATTGTTCTTCTATTTTGTCATTATTGTTATTAATATGGTTAATAATAATAATAATAATAATAATAGTAATAATATTATTATTATTATTATTATTATATTTTTTTTTTATTTACGAGAAACATATTTCTTCGAATTAGAAAAGTAATTATCCTTTTTCGTACGTATTACTGGCACCATGTACAGTTGCCAGCAAAAGTTCTCCCACAGCCCTGTGTAGCAAGTTGTGGGAGGACTTTTGCTGGCAACTGTCCTTGTGGTAAGGGGCTCTCATAATGTTTCACGAGTTATATTTAATCTTCGGAAACAACCGCGTCACGACTTTTGTCTTTGATTGTTCGTACGCCATGTACAACTGTACAGTATGTAGGTCATTGTCTGCCGTTTGGTAAATCCTCTGTGATGACGGTAGAAGCTAGTTCCAGATTATTGTATCGTTTGTGTTAACTCAGCAATTTTGCATAGCTTTTGTGTCGTGTTGGAAATTAACAAAATCTTGTTTATTTGTTACCCACAGCTTTATGCCGCCTGTTAATATCGGAGTTAACATAGGTTCGCGTCTAAATCGAAAAACTAGAACAAAATTCTCTTCCTTTGCTCCCGTATCAAATCTGAATTACTCCTTGCATTTTTACACGACCTCTGGAGCACCACATAGGGTCGCAGTTAGGCTTGTTACTTGTTGTATAATTAGTATTATATGATTTCCGCTACTTTTGAGTGATTTGCAATATTGGAGTTGAAGGTACGACAAGAGTGAAACACATTTGGCAGCTGAAAGAAAAACAAGTCTTTACACTACGTTTGTGTTATCTGTCCTCCTGGTTGAGAGTATATACATGGGATTTGGAAACGCGTGTTTATTTATTTAGATATCAGGGCGATTATAACATTATTGTAATACAGTTTTAGATTAGGCTCATAATACTTAAGATTCCTAGCATTGTCTTCGAATGAGTTGGTGTAAAATATGAGAGAGGGTTAGGAGGCGAGCAAGCTAACGATTGACAGCGTGAGGTCAGATGGTTGGGTGTGCGAAGGAAGGGTGGGAGTTAGCGCGCGTGTAGGGACGAGCACTTGATGGCTTAGCTGGCCTTATGCTCTGATATATGGCAGCGAGTCAAAGATCAACTGTATGAGTGATGGAAAGACTGCAGGCAGTGGAGGTGAAGTGCTTTATTTTTTATTCCACATAATTTGGTTTGTATGCCAGGTAAGTTATTAGGGATCACCTGAAAATTACCCACTTGGGGGATTAGGTTAGCATTAGGATGATTAATTTTAAGGTAAAATAAGCTAAGAGTAATCTTAAGGTGATCCATTGAGAGTGGAGGTACGGGAGAAATGTGAAAGGTATGTATTTTTTTAGGACAGGTATTTGAGAGATATTTTGAGACAGGTATGTGAGAGAGAGAGACTTTGACTCTGAGGCAAGTAATGTGAGAAATATTTTAGACAGGCTTGTGAGAAATATTTTGAGACAGGTACAAAGAAAAAGATTAGAAATATAGATGTTTAAGAAACTGAATGACTGAAGTCTGAGATAATAGATTGCATACTGAAGGAATAATTAAGAAAGCGTAGATGAACAAAGGTGCAATAGAAAATTAAAAGAAAAAGGTGGACATAGAATGGAATAGGTGAATTAAGAGTGTGTGTGTGTGTATGTATGTATGTATGTATGTATGTATGTATGTATGTATGTCCTCGGGCAGGGTGAAACTATAGGCAAGTTTCTTTAAGCCATTTGCCTCTGTCTACCTAGCAGTAATTGAGGACCTGGATGTTAATCGATTTTCTGATCGTATTCCGGGGTAATGGTTAACCAGTGCAGTTGGCGAGTTGTCCGGTCTTCTCGGACTATTCCTTGACATTGAGTCATGCAACTCGTTAACGTGGGGTGTGGTTGTTATGTTGGCGACAGCTTCTACACCTTAAACAAATTCACGCCTAGGTGGCCCTTGGGCCGGCCATCCTCGTCACACGAGGGGCAATCATTATTACCATTATGTATGTGCGTGTGTATGTGTATGTGTGTGTGTGTTCACACCCCACCCTCCTGGCTGATGTCCACGAGTGTAGAAGAAAAGCCCCCTAGGACAAATAAGAAGAATTTTTAAATAATTATTCTTTATTATTTACACTTTATGAACACTTCTCTGACATGTAAAATAATACATTTATTATATCATAAGAAGGCAATACCTAACCTAACCTATTTTGCACTTCAACCGAGGGACTTTTGTCCGGACTCTAGTGTTGACACCCTGTCCTCCGCCTGGCCCGTGTTTACTACAGAGATTAGCGTCAGATAGAGCAAATTATTGTTAGTTATTACAAACTTAACACAAGATCCTATTCATAGTACTTCGACTAATGGTCGAATGACCCACATCGGGGCCTAGGGGGGCGAAAATGTAATAATAATAATAATAATAATAATAATAATAATAATAATAATAATAATTAATAAAAGTTATAAAAGTTATAAAAAATATAATATAATAATAATAATAATAATAATAATAATAATAATAATAATAATAATGATAATAATAATAAGTAAGGACCATAAATAAAAAAATAAATAAAAAAATGATCAATAGTGAGAAACGATATATGTATGTTGTGTTGTCAAAGCAAGAGAAACAATTGAGACCCTGCAATTATGTGTAAATGAGGCAGAAAGTCAGATCAGCAACCTGGGACTTTGTCACAATTTTCGTGATGCCATATGGCAGCAGGGTCTACCATTAGACAACACATTATGCTTCCAATATCTTCCCAGGCGGTAGTACCTCCCTGTTTGATAGCTGCCTACTACCTACTGTACGGTTACGGGCAAAATTCCATGAACACTTGACGATAATATCTGGCATATAATACTAGGTCATAAATGATTGCCGTATGTCTATAACGCTCCTTTTTGTCACTTGTTATGTCGGAATCACAAAATATTAAAAAATACACATCTTATTTACTTAACTAATTATTCTCAAAGTACTGGTACATACTGCCAAGTGTCCAGGGAATTTTGTCCGCAACTATACGTTATATATTTTTCACCAAGTTATTTCAGAACTAATTGATGATCTTTCGTGAAACTTTACACACTCGTAAGATGGTGACAATTGGCTACCATGGAACCAAGGTCAGGGTCACAACGGAAGGTCAAAACAGCGATGTTCAGACGATTCCGACTTTGTTTCTGACCTTTTGACTAAAG